CACATATCGAGTCCCAACAGCAACAATGTAGGGATGAGCACCACAGTACAGGTGAGCATGAAGGAGGGACAATCTTCGGGGATTTTAGATTGGGAACACAACAAAATACTAACACTCAGGGATTTGGGAATAGTCAGATGCCTGCTAATATCGATGATTCGTTTTTAGATCGAATCAATGAATTATTAAACGAATTCAATCAATGGCACCAGCGTGACCAAGAAGAACAATAACCTCGTCTATCATTTTATTTTTAGATCATATGTTACTAATTTTATGCTTTATTATAGTCCATGTATGTTGATATACTTATTCCATGATAATTATATGTTTATCCTTTTGTGTGATGTAAATTAAATGCTGAATGACGGTTCATGCAGAAAGAACATATCAATATTCCCATATTCATTCAAAAACATGAAAATTCTTAATGGAGTACCCTCATTTCTTATTGAATTCCTAAAAAAAAATATTTATAATGAATTTTAATAATTTTTTCGGATTTTTTTTAAACTTTATTCTGACCGATTCACCCGATTCCCGATCCGGATCGCCGATTCGTCGATTCGGATCGGTTTTTTGGAAGCCCGATCCGGGTCACTTATCCGTTTTTTAAACCATTGGTTGGAAAGATGTTGATCGGTAGTGTTGCTCGGTCGGGAGAGCAGGTTTAGAAAGGAAGATCAATGAAGATTTTTTTGCTAATGTTTAGAGAGATGCAATATCTCTTGTAACCCAAAATTGTAATCTTCAATGTCATAATGGATTTATACTTACCAAGGCCATGGATGTTGTTATGGTGTGTTGTTTTATGTTTATTTTATTTCTTGCATTAGATTTATAATTGTATTCATCTACTTCGCATTTAGTCAATCATTTACATAATCTTGCATAGGATCCCGGTATTTGAGATTCCCGGTTCCTCAAGCGAGGGGTTCACGAGAATTCTACAATTGGTAATAGAGCACAAAGCATGTACGGGGCTAACTTTTGAATTAAGAAAAAAATGAATGGTAGAGTTTGATGGATACAGGTAGAGAAATATAGAGGCAAAATGTTTGTGAAAATTCCCAATGAATACAAGTGAGAAGAAATCAAGAAACCTCTTCAATGAAGGTCGGCAAGGTGAATTTGGTGATTTTGCTATTAAGGTGGAGATTTTTAGGTTTGATGATGATTAAAATCACCACACCTATATTTCATTCAAAAATTAAGGGACTTATAGTAAAAAAAAAATGGACTTTTTTTTAAAGTAATATCTATATAAGAGAATCAAGGAAGACATAATATTTATCCTTTTGAGGGTTACTAAGAGAGCGAGACATGACCTACAAGAGCGGCGGTATTCCCATGGGTTTTGAGTTGGTAAGGCTTCTACTTTTAGAGAGAGAAAATCTTTTGGTTGCCCTAGAGGTTATTTTTCCGAT